ATGGGGGAGGGAGGGGGGGGTTTCAAGACCCCACAGTGGCAAAACCAGGCCGCCAATAAGAAGGAGAGTAGAATTTAATTGATGCCGATTAATCCCAGCCGCCGGGTTGAACCCTTGTCTCGCGCCTAATTGCACCCTTGCGGCCGCCGCCGCTTCACCTCCCGATCCACCGATCTCCTCCTTCCTACGGGGTCTTCATTTTTAAACGGGGTTCCGAAAATCCATCTTTGAAGCTTATCGACGCTACCACCCTCTATCGGTACCCGCACGTTCTATTTGTGTACCGTAGCTGGGATGGACCTGTTTCATCCCCTACCCTTCAGCCGCGGTCGAGATGCAATAATTGAAAAATAATTGGTACCTGAAAATCGGGTAATCGAGGCATCGAAATTGACGTGAACGAAAAGCCAAAAACTATTGCAGTACCTGACCCCATCGTTCCCGTGCTAGATTGACGAAGTTCATGGGGCTGATTTGTGCGGCGCCGTTGCACGCGATCGCCCTGTAGCTCCGACTCCTGTGCACTCTGTTAAATGCACTCGTGACTGTCAGAGGAAAGGCGGAAGTTTTGGCCGGGTTTTGGTACGACTGTCCGGCTTTAATCACGAGTAAGGGATGCGAGGGACTTTAGGAACACGCGATCCCCTGGTCACCCCTTAGATTGTGGGAGTGTATGTGGGGGGGGGGAATTAGATCAGATGCTGGAGGTACAGGGACGCCCCTTCAATCCCTATAGACGTACGGACTACTTGGTTCGGTTTTTTCTTTATTTATTAGAATTCGTTGAAAAAAATCGGTAAGTTTTTTTTTTAGGTTATCCGTATATACGTTGGTTACGTTGGCAATGTCTTATTAACACCCTCTCGAGGAAACCTCTAACGAATGAGAGCTCATAAGTTATTCGCGAGGGATTTCGAAAGGGGGGAGGGGGGGCGTCCCGACGCCCACGGCGTCTGGCAATCTTGACGGACGTTGCCAGGCCGTTAAATAAAAGACTTGGGCTTACATGGGCAGGGAGGATGACGAGACTGAAGGATGATAAGGGGAGAGGAAGAAAGGGAAAAACAGGGGGAGGGAAACCAGAAAAAGAGGGTGAAAAGATATGAGTGAAAGGTGCGTGGAGGCAGGAGGGGATGGTAGACAGGAAAATGACGGAGATTGAAATACCGTCGAGTTTGTAAAATCGATAGATAACACAAATCGATGTATTTCCCCCATTTTCATTTTTAACATTTTTTTTCTTCCTTTTTTTAATTCTCGTTCAGATACTGACGCGCGCTCCGTGTCCTCTTATCATCGACAGGTAATCACCGGAATCGAATAAAAACTTTCATTATCAGAAATTACCTTGGGACCGGGCCGCGCGCACAAAGCCGATAAGCCCGCATGTAAACGCGACCTACGATCGCGCGAAGTCTGTCCGGGAAAAAAAGTCAATTTTTCGCAACTTCGCAAAATCTTGTTATCGAACCCCGCAAACTTTTCTGTTCACGGCACTTCGTTGCCATCGACTATATTTTTGTTCGCATAAGTCACACCGATCACGTATTCGCCCCGTGCTACCATTTGTCAGTCGCCTTTTAGCATAAGAACCACCAGTGTGAATTTGCCGCATATCGAATATACCCCGAAAGTATCACCTTCCCTTTAACGCGATCCCGATTGGTCATTACTGTCGTCATAGAACCCGCAGAATACTTTCTCACAGCCAATAGATCTTTGCCGAGGTCAATAACCCTGCGTTCAATGGAAATCAACGAAAAAAACGATTTTTTTACCTTCGGCATGGAAAACACCATTGGCAATGTAAAACTGTCCCACGGCAACGCATACGAATACGTTTGGTGCGCGACTTCGCGTGATAAAGTCAGTCCGATGGATTTCAGTTACTTCGTAGACGTAAGGATACGAAATGACTAGTTAATAATTAATGATAATTATAATCGGTCGGTAGCAGCCCTGCCACGTGAGGAGGGGGGTGACTATGTTCCAAGACAACCCAAAAGAGCCCTAAGCTTAAGTGCGAATGGAATTTTCAAAATTCCCCTGGTGACCACCACCTGTCGCTGTCAACGGGGAAGGGGGGTTCAGGGGTTAGCAATGGGACGTATCTTACCGGTAAAAAAACAACCCGTAAGAACCACGTACAGTGAATTTGCCGCATATCGAATATACCTCGAAAGTATCACAATGGAAATCAACGAAAAAAAATGATTTTTTTACCTTCGGCATGGAAAACATCATTGGCAATGTAAAACTGTCCCACGGCAACGCATACGAATACGTTTGGTGCGCGACTTCGCGTGATAAAGTCAGTCCGATGGATTTCAGTTACTTCGTAGACGTAAGGATACGAAATGACTAGTTAATAATTAATGATAATTATAATCGGTCGGTAGCAGCCCTGCCACGTGAGGAGGGGGGTGACTATGTTCCAAGACAACCCAAAAGAGCCCTAAGCTTAAGTGCGAATGGAATTTTCAAAATTCCCCTGGTGACCACCACCTGTCGCTGTCAACGGGGAAGGGTTCAGGGGTTAGCAATGGGACGTATCTTACCGGTAAAAAAACAACCCGGAGCCACCCGAACAACATTATCCCCATCGGAAAAGACCCAGCTAGGATTTTCTAAGGGTAGCCGAATACTGAAAGGACATCATCCCCTTCAACCCCTGAAGGAGGGTAACATGCAGTCGAGGACGTAGGAAGTTGCCAGCCATAAGTTTACCGGGAGGATCGAATAGGGGTGAGTAGGGGTTTGCATTGTTTTTTTTTTTGGTCGACTTGGTCCACATTCGCCCCATCGGGTCCACGGGCATCGAGGGTCCTCTCGTTCTCGAGTAAAAAGAACATCCGGCATCCCTTGGTTCCGTTTCGTCCACCCTTGCCAGGGGATGAAGGGCGTAGGCCTTTTTTAATAACCCAAGGAATATTCCTATCGACAAAATGGAAAGCCGATTTTACATCCACGCGGGTCTGCGTACATTTTTAAACCTCAGGGCCCCGCCCTGAGGCACTGCGAACATACCAGAAGACATCGATACGAGGAAATACGATAATTCCCTGACGGATGCTGCGAGGTCGTCGAGGTGACGTCACTCGAGGGACAATTTTTACGTGAATTCTGCCGGAGGTCAGGCGAAGCTTTTGAATTAGCGAAGAAAGGGAAAAATGGGAAAGACTCAAGAATGTCCGATCTGCGTGTCTGCGTTATGAAATCTGAAATATTTTGCCTGACTTTTATAAAGCGGCATAAAAAATATACCTCGTGCGTCAGGAGTCCAGAGTAAAGGGGATATAAAATTTCAGTTTTTTTCTTTTTCTTTCAAACTTTCACGTATTTCACTCGAGCCGACTAAAGCGTACCTGGCGAATCAGCGGAAATGCGCAGAGAGATTTCATAGCGAGAGAGAAATATATTTTAAAGAATTCACTGACTAAACGCTTTTAGCGAAATCTACTATGAGAAATTTGTACACCGTGTATATAATGTATATTTGTTACATTGTATACGTGTTGTGCTAGATATTTTTTTTTCTGGAAAAAAAAAAAAGACGAGAAAGAATGCAAAATCGTAAACAGTTGTTCACGGGAAACGCAACAGCTGAAAAGTTGGTAAGCTTGAAACTGGCTCAGTTCTTTAATATGCTCGAACTGCCACGACTAACCGAATAGTTAAATCGCGTCCAATTTCAGCTGGCGCCTTTGTCGTGAATAACGCTGTATACAGTGACAGAGTTATAGGAGGTTCGCGGATGCGGGCACAAAGCGTGTTTTATTGTTAGAGCGGAAAATGTCATTATATGCCGAATCATCAGAACGAATGGCCGAGGTCGTAAAAGGGTTGGCGCTTTTCTTTATTTATGGTTCGCGCAAGAGCGATCCGACGGGAGCCGAAAGGAGACGCCGAGCGGGAAGAGCGGGGGGACGGGACGAATCGAGGCGAATGAATAAATAAGAGAAAAAAAGTTGTATAAAAATAAATAAAAACGTAATTGATTTAAAGAGAAAAAAGAAAAAATACGAAAAACCGCAAAGAAAATTGTACATCGAATATACACGTACGTGGACCAACGTGAATTTTCCGCGAAGGAAAGAGATCGGAGGCAAAGTGATGTACTTTTTGTTGAGAAGGGAAAGAGAGAAAAATTCTTCTTTTTTTTTTTTGTAAAAAAAAAAGCAAAAAAAGTTCCCACGAAAATACAGAAACGTTTCTCGACTTTAAATAAAAGTCTTCGCTTTCTCTAGTAGCTTTCTATCTTTTGCGATATATCTCTTCTCTTTTTTTTTTTTTTTTTAGTCACTTTATTTTTTCTCTCCATTTCCCTCCTTTCGCGATACACGTACACTCCTTTAAAGCAAGAAACACAAAGTCACGTCCATCTGAGACCGAGTAACAAACCGGGGGTCACTTATCGACGATAAGGAGAAATAACAATTGATATCCGGGAGAAAACGTAGCGAGAAGAAATTTCAATGAGAGAGAGAGAGAGAGAGAGAGAGAGAGAAGCCAAGAAAAAAAAATAGAGAAAATTCAATTTCTTTCCCACCTCAAGTATCCTCGGCACTCAAGGGATTTCTTCGTCGATGGGAAAACGAGGAATTGGTGTGACTGACAGGTTATTTTGACGCGAAAACCGAAATATCGGTGTATAAGGCATTACGGGACGTCAAGACGTGACGCCTGACAGGAGCAACGTTAAGAAGGAGGGCGGAATGAAAAAATTTCTTATAAGGGTGCAAAGAAGAAAAAAAAGCACAACCGCGACTCCTAGCAAAATGTACATTTCAGGAAGAATCCCGTCAATTTCGTAAAGATAGGCGAACCTCGAGTGAAACGAAATACGTCATGATAAGCAGGAGGGGGAGAGAGAGGAGGAGGGGAAGAAGGGGGGGAGAGGGGTATGAAATACCAAAAAAAAATTTCAATCCCAATCGAAAATCTAAATAAATTTGAATCGTACAATGTAATTTACAAAAAAAAAAATAATTACACACTGTACAAGGGTGTTTGATGAATGTACGAAGGAGTATCAGTGCAAACCACGGTCTTACATACAGGTCTTGCAACTCGCCCGATTTTCAGCGGCGGGGGTAGACGTGGTTTTGAAGCACGGCACATTTTAAATTTTAGTCACAAGCGTCGCTATGATCGAGCGACCCCCTTATCTATCTCACTCTACAGTCAGCTGTGGGAGAGAGAAATAGGAACGGGCCCCTTATCTATCTCACTCAACAATCGGCTGTGGGAGAGAGACATAGGAACGGATCGCTTGATCGCAACGCCTCTTGTGGTCATGAAGCGAAATGAAAAAAGGCTTCTGAAAGAAGACTACCCCCTCCAAGGGAGTTGCAAGACCTGTATGTACGACCGTGGCGCAAACTGTACCTAGTCTGTTTAGAGGTTACAGGAAAAAAAAAACTTCGTTTGTAATCGAAGGTCAAATTTTTTTTTTCTTATTCCCAAAGAGACGAAAAGCTCGCCAACGATCCTCGGTACCGAGGATCGACGGTGCTGCCACCTAGGGCGTGTCGAGAAATGAAAAATGACGGCAACGAGGAACGTGTACCAATTCCGAAATTAACATCAACTAGAGAAATTAAGACACGGGGGTGAATTTAAGGGTCGCGAAACAACCCCTGGCTACGGAGGAGCCGTGACAACATCCGGAGACGCCTAGGCGCCTGCTTTAATCCCTGTGTACGTTCTTGCGAAACAACCCTTAACAAACCCCTCGAATCACTTCCAGCTACATCATCCCTTAGTGTACGGGCTAACGTCGCGCTACGTTCTCCTCCCTTTGAGGGTAACAGAGAGCCACTCGGCAATCTCACCCTGGTGGCCATGCAACAAACTTTTTTTATTCTTCTTATTTTTCGCCGGTGGGGGTTGTACTCCGTTATAGACCCTACCCTCATATATATATATATATATATATAGCTAGAGCACAATCACAACAAAGTGAACTAACCGTAAGGGGTGTTGTACTCCGTTATAGACCCTACCCTCATAACAGAGAGCCACTCGGCAATCTCACCCTGGTGGCCATGCAACAAACTTTTTTTATTCTTCTTATTTTTCGCCGGTGGGGGTTGTACTCCGTTATAGACCCTACCCTCATATATATATATATATATATATAGCTAGAGCACAATCACAACAAAGTGAACTAACCGTAAGGGGTGAAAAAAACAAAATCAATTATTACGTCAACCCTCTTCATAGCAAATAATAAGACTATAAAACATCCCAGATATCACCCGATCGTTGAGCATCGCGAAAAATATACGATACTCCTCGATTTTTTTTTTGGCAAAGGAGGAAAATCCACAGTACACCAAGGAACCACGTGAGAATTTCTATTGACGTACCCAGCGAGTTCGTGGTTCGGTGTGGAGGAGGCTTTAGGCGAAGACGTTAATAATTTAGGATACCCGAGTAACGCACGGAAAGGGAGAGTTATGATTAACAATTAACGGCAATGACAAGAAGGGGTTAATATTACTGACAGTAATTTAATCAGGTTAATAAACAAGATTTCGTCATCGCTGTAATCCTATGCTGACAGTCAGAAGGGGATGCTGCGACTACAATCGAGAGTTAACAGGGATAATAGAATCCCCATATAACCCCTAGCAACCGAAAACTTAACCCTGAAAGTATGAGCCAGGTGTAAATTTTACTGGCAATTGCAATAAATTAGGTTAGCTTGGAAAAGGGTTTTTTTTTAAATATTTTTATAGGATTAATATTTTTTTAGAAAATAGCGACAAGAAAAGAATGAATAATATTGCACAGTACACCCCACTATACCAGTAGCCACATAGGGGCGTGAGTAAGTCGGTACCGATCGGGATGAAAGGCGACAATGAGAAAAAGGAGAGAAAACTAACCTGAAGATTTTTAAAGCGATGAGATGCGCAGAGCGCGCTGAGAAACCTGCTCAGCGCGCATCTCGGAGGATTCTCGGTAACCCGTGAATTCAGGGCGGCTTCCACTATGACTTCCCTTCCGGTCGTAGCTCCTATGCCCACTTCCGATCCTCGTCCCATCTGTAACAAATAATTCATGAGGGTCAGTTGGGTCAGCACCGTAGACACAGCGTTTCGAGAGGAAGCGCAAAGACGTGTCAGTGACGTTTAAGAAACGTGATTTACGAGGTAAGAGATTACTTGCAAATATTTATATATCAATTTCGCGTGTCGCACGGTGATTTCGCGAAGAAAATTTGAATAAGATCGAAACGTTCGTAAACCCGGACTCCGATACCTCGAGGTTGAGTATCGATACTTTCGTAAATCCCTAGTCAGTCAAAGTGCCCGAAAGTCCAGCAGGTAGGGGCCTATAGGCCGAAATTGGAAAAGACTGAGATTGGACACGAGGAAAAGTGGTGAAATCGAGCGGCATAGGGTCTAGGATAAATTATGGCTCTCGAAGTCCCTTCCTGTGTTAAAGTGCCACCGTCAATCGTATTTCCTCGGATCTGAGATTTTTACATATTCGTACGGTCCTGCAGTGACGTCCTGACGTATTGCTTACTGACCCCGTGCCGGTCAGCTGACTTTTTTCCAGTCTGACGTTCAGCCTCGGATCCGCCGTTTTTTCCCACTTCCAGCCTATAGGTTCCTCTTGGACTTTAGGGCACTTTGACCGGCAGAGTCTTAACAGCGCCTTATTGTGCCTGGCAAGGTTGTTCCTTATTGTGAAAAATATTTTAGCTTCCCGACTAACGGATAATCCGCCCCGACGACACGAAACCCAGGTAGGAGCTGATGATGAACTTCCAAAAGTCTCTGGGTCCCGTTGGACGAGCTTGGGAAAGTGAAAGTGATACGAGAGTCAATCAGTGCCTTGGCTGTATGCTAAGACGCGATTGGTGAACTTTCGAGTTGAATAGCTCCGGAAGGAGTTACACGATCGCGCACCCCTTGAACATTGCCTTCGGTTTCGCCCCAGCAATGTGAATTCGCGTAAGCGAATTTCAAGAGGCCACATGCCGTAACGATAAATACGAAATACAAAATAGCTCGAATAGGAAATCAAATTCTTTCTCACCGTGACAATCGAGGGCCGGGGAGCACCGGTGAAGTGCTCGATGACTTCCCAGTTGGATTTTTTAACGGGCGTGTGCGGCGTCCTGGGGGTGTTCGGCGAGTGGGGTTGCGATCCAGGGGTTCCGGGCCTCGAGTTCGGTGGGTCCAGCAGCAGCTCCACCACGGGCTTACTACCGTCAAGGGACGAACCGTGGGCCACGTGCTGTCGTAGACTGGCCCATCTTCTGCTACTCTTAACGGAACCGCTGATCGTCCTGGACCCCATGGAGCCCTGAAGTTCACCCTGAGAATGAAAAAAAAAACCCCAAAAAAAATCTTTATACTAGCGGAATCGAACTTTTTTCTTTTTTTGAAAATTTCTTTCCCAAATTTATCCCTTCCACGATTTTCTTTATCTAATATTTTCTTTCCTTATATCATTACTACGAATGTCTATAGGGTGTCCAAAAAATAATATCCCGTACAGCTCCACCCTCTTTTAGCGAACGAAGTTAATCTTCCAAACGAAGGCTTGAATAAGAAGGAAAAGAAGCGAAATTATTGAACAAGGCTTGCTTGATTACCTCGTCGAAAGCGAATGTCAAACACGGAGTCCAGCTTGAGGGAGAATAAGATTTTAAGAAGACACAGACAACCACCCTTTACATAGAACCCGCTATCCCTGTATCCACCCTTATTTTGACTAGAGTATCTCATTGCTCGTGTTTATCCACATTGATTCTAAATACATATACGTAACACCCATCAGGTCAAAGTTACACGGGTCCCGATAAGGTATGCCGAGACACGTCCAATGTTTTAGCATGGATCGAAGATGCTAATACCAGCAGCCCCTGCGAAGGGGTGGCTAACCGTGGGGTTAGAAAAAAAAAAAAAACGAAGGGGTGATACCGAGTATCCTTCCGGGCGCTTATAAATAGAATACTTTCGTCCCACCTCGGCTACGGATTTTTATAATTCGATACGTCAGTCCCTACGTCACAACGATAAGGGACGAAGGCGAAGAGGGAGGGCGGCTGTTAAATTCATCCCCTCTCTTATTTGTACTCACTCGAGTAAGCCCTTCTCGAACGGCGGCAATTTTGAGATTGAACAACTTTTCGAAAAACTTTTCAGCGTCATTTTGAATTCCGGGCCCCACTCTCTGCGGGCTTAATTTATTATTGCGTCATCGGCCCCCAAAAAGCCACGGAACTTACAAGCTCATAACAAAGGGGTATGTACAATGATGGATTAACGTGACTCGAGTAAAAAAAGAAGAAAAAAATTAAATGGACCAACACGTACTGTAGGGAATAACTGTTTCTCTGAATACAAAATTTAACACCCAAGACAGGGTCTGGCTCAGACCTCTATCCAGCAGCAACCCTCAGCCCGATATAAGCTCAAAGTTCTGCCGTAGGCGGTGAGAATTTTGCTTCCCTTCAACCCCTTTATGAATGGACTATGCTATGCATACAATTGATCAAAAACTCACCACCCCCCAAGACTGGCACTAGGTGTATCCAGCAGTATCATAATAAATAAAATGTATCGGAAATAATATATCGTATATTCTGAGTCGTTCTACATATATATATATATATATATGTTTGAATCGAAGGTTATATATATATATATATATCGCCCCCTACATTTCACGGCCTTTCGCAACAATACATAACCTTATCACATTGTGTCGCCCTTATAACTTCACCATGTTCAATTCATCCCTTAGAGCATTTCGTGTCTTCCCCATACACACACGTGGACGCGTATTCTCGATACACCCTCAGCGTAACCCAGAAGGGGGTAGAGGCAATATAAAAGATTACACTCTCAAGGGTAGTTTGTGTGATTTAATGTGAGAAAGAAAAAAAAATAGCCACACGCCCCGTTCCAGAGAAAAATACGAGTCCAATGAATTTGAAGAAAAGCTTCAAGCCAACTTCACCCCCGGCGTTTATTAATCCTCTGCGAAATGGGGTATCCGCCCACGTAGCTACGACTTCCTTCGGGAGGGGGGAGGGGGGTGTATAGCTAACCTGTCTTTGTCAATTTCCCCATTCGTCGGCAACCCTTGTTTTCGATCCACCCCTTGCCACACTCTAATTATACGAAATGCCTAGGCGAGGAGTCTATGGCGCCGGTATAGAAGCCATTTTCCTCTTTCGACTTACTGTTACCGAGTACAATCATCCCTCTTGTGCGTAGGGGGATGCCTTTGGCACGGTTACGGCACTCGCAATAGGGATATAGGTATAAAAGACGTTCCGTCTCAAAAGGAATTAAATTTTAAGGGTGGCTGGCGAACGGGAAGAGAGAGAGAGAGAGAGAGAGAGAGAGAGAGAGAGAGAGAGAGAGAGAGAGAGAGTTGCTCTACTGCCACAGAGACATCAACTGTATAACGTGAAATGTGCATTAACTATTCAACAGCTACCCCCTGTATACGTAATAAAGTTGCACTACCCTACGAGATCATCCCTTGGACATCCAAGTACCAAAACCCCTACCGTACTCCAGATACCGTGGGGCACAGTCGGACCCGCGACACTCACAGATCTCGATGCACGAACTTTGAGGGCGCCGACCGTTTTACCTAACCTTCCTGTCGTCCAATCGCGACCGGAGCACCCAGGGACGTAGCCAGGGAGACCAGTCTCCCTGGGCGAAGTAATTTCTAATACACAGAGGGTGCATCCACGGATAGCCCCACGTTCTAGAGACGGCACTGTCGCCTCTGTCTGTTTCGAAGGTTTTTAAAAGGTCAGTGCCCCAGGTGTCCGACTGTATTCTTGTCATACAATATCCATAGGACCACTGCTGCCATCGGTCCTACCAACCCTCGTATTTTTTTTAATCCGTCTCGAAACATCGATACCAACCCTTAACGGTCCCTACGAAAAATGAACCTCGAAACCTATCCTAAAATTTTTCTACCACGTCAAACAAGCCCTGGTAGAAATTTTCATTATAAATACCCGAGGGCTCCCAGAGGTCCTACTCCGGCCCTGAACTCGTCCAGCGGGACAACCAAGACCCGAAACTTACCCGAGACAACTTCTACGAGAGGGAAAATTTCACCGTGCGTGACGTCACAGTTTCTTTTGCATACAACAAAGCTTAACATCAGCAAGCCCCGTTTTCTGTCTTGTCTCTATAATAATTACCATTCTCCATTTGCTACCGATTTAACAAAATACGACCCTGTGCTTGGTGCCGTATGTTCGATTTCAAAGTTCAAAAAAAAAAAAATAAGGAATGGTAAATCAACCTTACGTATTTTCTTAGCTCCCCGATATTTTTCTTTCCCGAAGAGCGACGAGAAAACTTTTCGAATTGCTTTCACGGACTAGTGAGCCCACCCCCCCCCCCTCCCTCCCAGCGGTAACCAAAATTTCTCCTGGCAACTACGGCGGACCGACGCGGATTCGCGATACTCGTAAAGGCACTGTGTACCTTTTGGACGAATGAAAATGTTCACTGGGCCCAGAGCTGATTACTAAACTTCATCCCTAGCGTGTAGGCTCTTAGGGGATGATCGATCGTCTGAGTCGTTGCGCGGTAAAACCACTTGGAAAGGATGTCGGATAACTGCTAGCCCCCCCCCCCCCCTCCCTCCCAGCGGTAACCAAAATTTCTCCTGGCAACTACGGCGGACCGACGCGGATTCGCGATACTCGTAAAGGCACTGTGTACCTTTTGGACGAATGAAAATGTTCACTGGGCCCAGAGCTGATTACTAAACTTCATCCCTAGCGTGTAGGCTCTTAGGGGATGATCGATCGTCTGAGTCGTTGCGCGGTAAAACCACTTGGAAAGGATGTCGGATAACTGCTACTTGTGTCTGACTATGTACAGACGTTATCTACTTAAGATACGCGCATCTTACGTGCCACGATAGCTACAGAAATGTTACTTATTCTTTCTCCCACAATTTTCCCACGCGTTGAAAATATATTTTTACTATATCACATACCTTTTATACATTTTGAATATATTTTCGATATATCTTATATACGTGCTATATATGGTACCGTGAAAGACCGAAATCTGGTGAATGTCGACTTTCACCGGTGAATGTCAGCATTCGCATAGTCGCTTGGTTAAGTTCCAAGTATTTTTCTTAAATACTCTTATTCCTGACTTACACCGGTGAAAGTCGATATTCTTCAATTTCGGTAATTCACGGTAACACATATATATAATACAGAAGATCTAACCGAGATCAGTTCCTCCTATCAACTTTTACCACCTTATTCGACAAGTGTCAATAAAGCTTCAACCATCCTACTCGTAAAACAGTAACGGCCGGAGCCCGCGGGGCTCGAAAACTTTTAAGCCGGCTGGCTCGACTGAAGTTTCAGTGAAAAAAGGGTCTTTTCAGGGAAACGGCCAATCTCGCGTATACGTGTGATCAGGTGGGAGAATCGTACGCAAAATTTCCACACAATTATTAAATAACGGCACAGGGTCCGATGAGATACATTTTTTCTATCGATCTGACGCCGATTATACTTTCGATAAGCGTATTAAAAAAAAAAAAAGGGACGCAAATAGGATCGGTGCGTTGAACCTAAAAAAAAAGATCAACCTACCGGAATGGACACTGCCTATCAATATGCGCGGACAGACTATAGACAATTTTAATCCATTTTCAATAATCTCGTATGAAGTATCAATGAGAACAAAAAAAAAGGACACCGAACCTCGGCCGGCGACGACTATTTTTGAATTTCCCGCGAATTTTTCGTAATCGTACAAAGAGACTCCGCAAAAATAAAACGATACAATGAAACGTGCACGGTGCATCGGCTATTTCAAACCCGTGTAACGTATGAAAAATAATAATAAAATTTTTAACCGGCAGAAATGCTGTATTGAAATATAATACATTATAAATTGTATCCAACGAAACAAACATGGCGTAGCGCAACTCTGGACCAGATGTTCTGATAATCTTCCCATCTATTCAAATAGCTGCTCAAACTATGCTATTAAAGCGTCACGACTGTAAAATCGATGCTTCCTACGCGTGCTATACATGTATATATATGTATATATATATAGATCTATATACACATTCGTACGTGAACAAGCGCCAGAGCATACACCACGTGATAAAAGGATATATATTTTGCGTAACGCGTTTCCAATGTACGTAACGCGTATATTCGATATGACCGTATAACTCTGATTAGGATGCGCGCGCATCGATCTTTCAGCACGAGCATAAAGGGGGCACTCGGAAGTACATGCATCGTAACCTCGAAATGCAATATAGCAATGTATAAGAATATAATATTATAATAGTATAATGATAATGATAATAATAAAAAAAATTGTCAAACCTTTTTTTCCGTAAAATGTACGAAACTCAATATTACAATCCAATTGGACAAAGATAGTGTAAAACGATCACGTGTAACTTTAGGTTTGAAGACGAACGTTGCATTTGATTGGCTGCCTCCTTGCCGAAACCCGGGAAAATTTGAAATTCCAATAAGGACAGTGGACTTTCGTGATTTGAAAGACGCGCCGATATCAGCCCCGACGGCTGCTTCATATTTGCTGAATTTACGGGTGAACCGAACAAATACCTCGTTAGTAATTCAAATCCAAAATGCATCGCGTGTACGTTTCGAATCTAATTGGCAGCCGGCGGCAACGTGCTTTACGTTATACGAAGCACGAGGCTGCGAGCCGACGATATGCTGCTTGAAAATTCGCACGTGGGCCGAATTGAGAATTTATTAAACAGTGAAAGAGTCGGATACGGTAGTCCAAAGGAAGGATAAAAACAGTGCACGAGATTGTACCGTTAATGAGAGACTCAGAGCCACCAAAGTCCCATCGAATTAAGACACCCAGTACGCAGGTGTCTGTTGACGTTAGCTTGCGCCAGAAATCTCTCCTGTCGTCGTCATTATTGCCGTTACACGGTGCCAATTAGCAGATAGAAAAAAAAAAGGATCCAAGAAATGACAAATAAGTAACATTGACACGTGCGGCAAAAAAAAATTTTTTAAATAAAAACTACCAAGACAATAAATTCGTTTTACCAACCTGATGACTTCTCCGGCTGCCCCGTAAGCTGAGTCGCTGGCTCCATTCGCGTTTTGGAAAATCCCCACCCATCCTTTCCATCTTGTATCTAGTCTCCTCTGCCCTCTCTCTCGCGCGCATCAGCCCCGCGCTGGCGTTGGAAACGCTCCGCACCGGCGACCGCTAGACCATTGTTTAGCTGAAAAGACAAAGAGAGCGAAAAAAGGAAGCGGATGAGAAAAGAGAAGCCGGATAAAGGTAGAAACAAAGCACGGATCGCGCATGTGATTAGCATGGGCGGAAGGCCAGTGTACAGTTTAAAGTTACCCTCTTACGGTTCTTGCTCGTCGTGCGAACGAATGAGACAGACGATAAAAGAGAAAGAAGTAAAACTTCCAGGAGGACGGAAAAAGATAATTTTCATTTTGAATCACCCGTTAGAAACTATGTCTGGACACTTTGGCCACATCTGTATACCTCCTGCGAGACATTATACTCTGCGCCGTAATTGCTAAAGGAAATTTTAATATCCAAGCAAATGACTGTTAGCATTTAAATAAACTTTGTTAGCATCGCTGGTATCCTAATGAGTGTTTAAAAAAAAAAAAAAAATCATTCCCACTTCAATCCACCCGGTATAAAATTTCAAACACGTCGGCTACATCTATGCCACCCGATACACACGTCACTCAGAATTTATACAGGAAATCTAAACGTCCACGTAAACTGACAGTCTCTATTATCATCGCTCTTATCTTCATTACTGTAATAAGTAGAGACACGCGTTGTATGTGCACAATTATTACGTCACTTCCCCTTAGACCCCCTGACCCTTTATATACTACAAGCATATATATATATATATTTTTCCATTCAGTAGTTCCTCCAGCACATACTATACCATTATATAAGATAATAATATCGTCACAGTATATAAGGTTGTCCAAGCCATCCATTTTGATTTTTGCATTTGAATCGTCTTTCGATGGTGCATTATTTTTTGAATAATTTTACATAAAATCGTGAGCATCGGTATCGCACTATATATTTTATATGTAAAATCTTATGTATCAGTATCATACTATATGTATACTGATATAGGTACATATACGTATCGGTACCCGACTTGATAATTTTTCAAAAGAAAATAAATCATATTTAATCCGCATAGCCTTCGCGGCCGGGTGGATTGAAAGTCGTTATTACTTCACGCAATATAGGGTGTCCGTATATTTACGGATATCACGCAACCCCATTGAGTTTAATACGCTATTTCCATTACGCCCGTTAGATTCAATGCATTGTAATGATAATGTTGGTAAATATACTATATACAGTCCGTCGCATAAATATTAGGGCACTGTGATAATTTTTCATAACTTCCCATCCCGATTGAAGCACGTACTTCTGGGAGAAGTAAAAAAATATTGAAACGCTTGGTATAATTGAAATTAGTATATATGTATTTTGCAAGAAAATTCAATCAAAAAATCGTTCTGACTTCGCGATAATTACGTAACGCCAAATAAAATAATATAACTCGTTCTCGTCGAAATTGCTCGAAACTCGAAAAAAAATTTCAAAAAAAAATATACCCCGGTGTACAAATATTCATACGACAGACTACGTATTTATTGGACCCGAATGATAGCACTTGGGGTTGTCAAGATTTAATTATCAGAGACGAAGTATTGCTCGCGCTAGCCGAAAACGCTGCTTAAGTAATTATAATTAAAAATTACGATAACGATAAACGCTTCGAGGCTCGTACGATAATCCACCGAACGGCATCTGACCGAGGCGCTTTTTTTTCACTACAATTTTTTGGTTTGTCCCCGCGACATTTTGACGTTAATTAATCAATTAACTATCGCTGCACAGTTTATGCATGACTGACACCGGGCGCGGTTCGAGGATTAATGATATCCATATAATAGCAGAGTTCCATTATCAGTGGAATATATTCCACTGGATCCTGAACAAGGTTCCATCGGAACTGGAGAGTGACGGTAGGCCAACCGGAAACAAAATTCTTAGCAAATATATACATACAGACCGTATTTACTGTTGTAAGGCGACAGTCTCTCAGCCGTACTCCGTGCGACACTCCGACAGTTCGAACCACGAACCCAAGCGAACGGTATGAGAGGGGCGACTGTGTTGCGAGAAAAAAGCTTCAATAAATTGATCCAACTTGTCAATTGCGTAATGGTAAAAGTACTTTCTCCTTTCGTCGTGACGAACTGACTGACGATACAATAATTACGGATGAGGAATCAACGTGCACAGTGTTACAAAAATGTATGACGTCAATGCTTGGCATTACCCAATTCTACGTCATTATCGACAGTTGACGCCTTTATCTGTGATTCATGGCTGTCAGGAATAATAATAGTGTCTCCCATTGGCACCGGAACAACGAAATTTATCGTTCTCAAATTTACCTATTGTGGCTAGATTGTACCGTACGTATATGCATGCTCTTATCTAGTACTTATATACATACATATATATGTATATATAAAGTCGAGTCTGAAATTAGATTGACTCAGTCACGTTCCTTGTAACTTTTCGTCAAATCCACTTGACGTGGCTTATTTCGTTATGTCGTTACGTGAACTCGTACAGGAACTCTGGAGAAATGTACGGTATTGTTCGTGGTTGGAGTTCGGCGTTATAGGTCTGTGGGACTGTGTTATGAGAAAATGAATCGAATGAGGTTAAGTAGGGTAACGGATATATCGGGACGCCTATGTATAATTTGTGTTTAACGTGGTTATTGATATATTCGCATTGACATTTTGAGATTGAGGGTGGAAAATTATTCCTGCAATTGGTGGAAATTTATAGAAAGCTTGATGGATCTCTGATGGGCAATCCATGGGGAAATCAAATGACAGCATTTCATTGGATGAATAGAGCCGTTACGCGTCACGCGTCAAACCAATTTCAACGGTTCTTACGTAACGACGATTTTTGTGTAAAATCTATCTTTTTCTTTTTTTTTTCTTTTCCTTTCTAATACATCTTTTTAGATTTCTGTTTTTATTTTTGTTCAACTTTTTTTCTGTATTAAATAGAAAATTGTTCATTTTGTTTTAATTGTTCATTTTTTTTAATTTTGTGGATGACAATACAAAATGGCGACTGTGCACACTGCCAACGCGGAATATCAGTGTGTACTGTGATTAAGATTTTTTTCTCGAATTTTCAGTACAGCAATTTATTTTCCATTTTTCATTGTTACTCTCAGGCTTCCCGAGAGCTACGGGAGGTCTTAAGATAAAGCGCGGGATTTTCAAATCACGTTCAAATGCACAATCCTGACATTGGACGCTGTCTCGAGGGTGGCCAAAGAAAAAACGTCAAACTAAAATTTCATACTTTTCATAGTTATACCCTTAACATTAATTCACCCTTAGACAGGAATATACTGGGTGGCTCCAGAAAAAAATAATTCCAGCTCGCAAATGGCAGCCTTGAATAAAGAGAAAAAACACAGTATCCCTTTATCCCACGGCAATAAAGTACAATACAATTACCCTGAGCGCAGTAACAATGTATACTTCTAAGGGTTGTAAATAAGGGTAGGCATTTAAACATACCACTGTACCTATACGTAAATAATTCGCGTAGGACTTTAAGGGCTTTGAGTACCACCCTTAACAGTAGAACAGTAGAAAGTGTAATACTTTCGTTGTATTTCGGTATCCCGGAAGAGAATTTCAAAATTAGAATGCTCGGTGGAAAAAGAAAATTGGCAAGCAATATTTATTTTTCATCGTGAAAAAAAAAACATAATTTTCAACATTTTCATAATTTCTTTAATTTATGAATTATGACAATAAATTCTTTAATCCGTCATTCTTACAGATCTACTTCTTCCACTCTTAACCCTTTCGAACCACCACACTGTGTTGCGCACACCCAGTCGGACGTTCCGATCACCGGGACGTCTGCCAAGTTGTGACGTTTAAGGCTGAAGCATCATTTCGTAAAAAAAAAAAATGGTACCTACGAATGAAAAAAAAATTTTCAAAAAAAAAAATATCAAATCCCTCACCAACTGAACGAAACTTTAACCTTCGAGTCTCATAGCGAGTAATTTCACAAGGGCGAAAACCCCTTGTACATTTCAAAAATTCAATTTTCCCGCGTTACGCTATACCCATCGCGGCGCGCAAGCATAGAAAAACACGATCAGCTGAGAGAAAGAGAAAGCGACTGCTGGCGGCCAAGCCCTGTCTCTTTCCTATCAGCGGCCGTAGGTACGAGAGTATAGCGAACGTAGCCAATGGAAGCATTAGCAAAGGACAGCTACTAGCCGCCACCTCAGTCTCTCTTTGTCTAATCGAGTGGACGTTCTTTTGAAGGAGTTTCAAGTAGGGATCGCGTGGTCCATGCTACATGTCAATGATCCCAACGATCCTCGATAGATCAGCATATCTCATTTCATCACTCTTTACCGATCCCAGACCCCCCTCATCCCCGCCCAGCCATACACTGTACCTTATCTTTGTAATCGGATCTACCGCAAATATCCGTGTATACTTTTGTACGTATTCATGTTGGTACATACGTAGATACAAGACGTACGACAGCAACCAGCCTGACAAGTACATATTTGCCCTGTGGCATGTTCGAGGCAAAAACGTAAAATTGAAAATAACAAAATTGCTTATCCAAAATTTGCATACTCGTTTCTCTGTGATAATAAAATGAACGGATAGAATTTGGATATTTAATTTTTTTTTTTTTTTTTTTTTTTTTTTTTTTTTTTTTTTTTTTTTTTTTTTTTTTTTTTTTTTTGAAATTTTCCCTTTAAAAATCACGCGAATCCTCGTACGATTTCGCTATACAATTTTGCCAGCCTCGAGCGTCAAGTCGATCTTCCTAGACTCCGAATTGGCCTTGCCCACTTCTATCTGAGATTGAGCGAGCCTGCCTCTTCCGGGCATACCGATTACTGCACGGAAATCTGATTTGTTATCTTTGGCTATTTAGTCGATCTCAAATATTATCTCAGAGCGAGGAAGTATTATCGATCGATACATCACAGACCTACACGCTGGATGCTCGGAGCCTATAGGTTGTTTATTTTTTCAATGGCTGCCACTTGCCGAAGTTTATCCCACTTGCTGCACGCGAACGCGAATTCACGTCGACGGCCGGTTAGCTTATACGTATATATAGCTATGG